ATATGAGGTTATTGAAAATACCTTGGCTTGCATCAGGTGCACCTTATTTCCTCAAGCTGACATCTAGAACTATCTTAACAACTCACATATTCACAACTTGTATTTTCTGATTTAAACATTAAAGTTACAGCTCGTTCTTGATTTGTGAAACTGGGTATCTTTCCCCTATTTTACTCTGACAATTCCAATCTGTCCTTAAATTTACCTAATGGCGTCAACATTTCTAGTACCATATTTTTCCATTTGTAGAATTTTGATGTTTAAAATATTTTCTGTTTCTTTGCATCACATCACATGCATGTTCTCCGTCTTTTCCACTGGATACGTTAGCATTTTGAACAATCTTATTTTGAAGTCCTTGTCTGATAATTCCAATATCTAAACCATCTCTGTATTTGATTTTATTGATTATTCTTCTCTTGACCAAAAATCATATTTTCTTGCTTTTTTAGTGCCTCATGTAATTTTTCTTTCATTATGTTTTGGGCATTTAAAGCCTGTTGTTGCTAAGTGCCATCAAGTTGGTTCCAACTCACAGCGACCCTGCACAGGGTTTCTGAGGAGTGGCTGGTGGGTTTGAACCACTGACCTTGTGATTCAAACTGATCTTGCAGTCCAGTGTTTATTCTGCAGTGCCACCTCTTTCTCTGGCTGTTGTTGTTGTTGTTGTTAAGTACCGTGGAGTCGGTTCTGACAGATAGTGACCCTGCACAGGGTTACCGAGGCTGTAAATCTTTCGGGAGCAGAATGCCTCATCTTTCTCCTGCAGAACTGCTGGTAGTTTCGAACTGCTGACCTTAAGGTTGGCAGCCCGACTCGTAACCACTACGCTACCAGAGCTCCTTCTTTTTCTGGTAGGCTCGTAGAATAGGATCGGTAACAGCAGTCTGATTTGTAAGAGCTGGGTCTGAGTTTTGTTACCACGTTAGTTTGATTCAACCATATCTGATTTCAAATGTTTTGCTGGTGGGGTGAGACCTTTCCGTTCATCAGGCTCTGTCATCTGAGAACTCTGGTGACTCTGGAGGTCCCAGTGTTTCACTCATGGCTGAGTTGTTCACTGTTAGGACAAGGGAAGAGGCTTGTCCCACTTTAGTGCCCAGTTGCATGGGCTTTGAGTTCTTGGAGCAGTTTCTCTTCTCATCCTCAGGGGTGGGGGCTGGCGGGAGACAATCCACTTATTCTGAATCTTAGAAGTATGATTCCAGAAAGTTCTCCCTCAAGTTCGTAATTTCCTTGCATTCCCCTTTTGAGCTGAGTTTCTAATGGATTCAGATTAATGCACACTGGGAGTCTTGAGCAGTCACCCAGGAAATTTCACATCAGTAGGCCAAGAGAGACACTGCAGACCCACAGAATCCTTGGATATTGTCCTGATGCTTTGCCTGTCTGCGTCTCCTCAACAAATGACAGAGAATGTGAACTTTCCTCCTTGTTTGGGTATTAATCTCCTCAGAGAAATCCCGCAATGAAGTTTGACACCCCATTATTACCAGTAGATATAAGTTAGAGAGATTTTTATAAAGCTCGGTGAAACTGTCAAAATTAGTTAAGGGAGAGTAGGGTAAGGAAATTTTATATCTACAGCTTGGAGGAGGCCAAAAAAAAAAAAAGGAAGGAAAAATCCAGGAGAAAGCCTCTGAGTAAGTTTTAAATGTATGAATGCAGCAATCTGGGAGTATAATCTTGAAGTAAAAAATGAAAAGAAATTCCTTAGGCATTTAAGGCAAACAGTTCTAGGGCTAAAGGAGGCTTTCTTTCTGTTTTTTTTTTTTTTTTCTGGAACCTTTTGCTACGTGGATCTGGAGAATTAATTCAGGAAATCTCTTAGCGATAGTTGTAGCAGTGAATGGCACTTCAGAGAGGTACAGCATACACTAACCCACTGCGTGCGAACGTACCAAGCAAGATAAAACGTCAGTGGGGAAGATCAAGGAAAACATTTCATGGGCTGGTTTCTACGGTGCACAGCCTGGGTTGGTCAGAACAATGTTTGCAGCACTTCAGAGCTTGTTACAGTATTTTATTTGCAAAATATCTTTAAAAACTAGCCCCTTGCTTATCCTTGCTAGAACCCCTTTGCTCAACCATCTGCATACAAGAATGGATTCCCAGAGCAAAGGAGAACACTCAGATTGGCATTGCATTCTAGTTGTGACAGGTCCAGATTGCCAGTGAGTTCTGCTCCAAAATCTGCTGTGAAGTGGAACTTGTATGTAAGTTGGAACATTTAGGCATGTGCATATCTTAGTATAAAGCGTGTACCTTTCTACGCACACAAAACATTAGAGAAGACATCCGTAGCATAAATAATACAGTAATAATGTTTTGATGCACCTCGCAAAATGACAGTTTGTTATGACAAACCATTGAAATGTGTCCCAGATTTTAAATATAATAATTTCATATTTCAAGTATGATATAACCATAGAACATATAATTTAATATACTTTTTAATATAATGCAAGGAGGATCCCATAAATTAACGGGAAAATTTCATTATGTTTTAATTCCATTTTCCCACAAACTTTTTGGAAGCTGTCTTGTATAGTAATGTAAATATTATTTTCAATATAATCTACTGTAATATGGAGTTGGTGTATCACATGAGACTGTACGTAAGCCCGACATTGGTGCCCGGATGCTGCCTACACGTGTTTCTCCAGGCTGCAAAATGCTAGGACACACCACTGCGGATTGCTGAGCTCTGTGTCAGAGCCTCTCCCCAGAGACAGCACTTGAAATGACTTGAGGAGAGTGAGGCTCCCACCTGGGAGACCTGCGTCTTCAGAGTATTTGTAGGGGTCCCTTCACCTGCCCAACCTCTTACTTTTCTTGCTCCTTCTAGACTGCTCATCGGTAGGAGAGGCTTCTTGTTCTAAGTCTGGATGGTCTCCATTTAAAAATAAGATTTTAATGTTTGTGTGCATTTTTAGGTAAGCAGTCTTGGCTTCTGTTAGATTGGTCTCATGACTGGTTGGTACTTTCTCTCCTAGGAATGCTGCCTCTGCAATTTGAGAGGAGGTGCTCTCAAGCCAACAAAGAACAATAGGTAAGTACTGCATTGACGGTGTGGTATTTCATTCACTGTGACTTTCTTCCATGTAGCCTATAAACCCTCTGAATGACAGTTGGCTTTACCTCCTGTGGTCACACGCAGTGTGCCAAAGCTTTGGCCGAGTCTGAGGTTGGGTGACTGCATGTATCTTCAAGACCATGACAGCACTTTCACCTCTGCTGGGCGAGGGGGAGGCTAAGTCTTGCTTCTGTTCTAAGTCTTTGACACCTTGGAATAGCCCCGCTTTTAGTAATGAACAGACTTTTGAAAATGAAGGTAGCCAGTCTTATCTAGGCCCCATTAAAATCCTAGAGTTTCTTAAGATGCTATTAGAATCCCAGTCACCTAATAAAAGCAAGAGGTGACCGAAAACCATAAAATCTGTTATCTTGAGGTAGAGTACATCCATCAGAGCCAGACATTTCAAAACACTCAGTAAATGAGCAAGAGAGTGTGCGCATGAAGGTAGAAAGATGGAGAGAGACGTGGATTTTGAAGATTCGCAGCAGGCAGATGGAAAGTGTGAAGAGTCTCGAAAGAGTTGTATGTGAATATGAAAGATAATCTGGCTCTTGTGAAGACTGGCATTGAAATTTATTTTTGAGTGAATTTTATTTTTATTCTCATGACCCACTTTTAATTTTGAACCAGTCCTACTACAGGCCCCTTTGGAAATAGAGACATCTGGAACATGGTTTAGGCAGAGGGCCCAGGCTGATACTCAGGGACCAGCTCCTCCAGCCCAAGAGAAATTCTGGGTTTGACCCACATACAATTTTGTAAATTTGGATCCAAAGTTGAAAGATTTATAGATTTTGCACAGAAGAATCCAGATTTTCTTCTTTACTTGAAAAACAAGTGTGCATCTCCCCATGGCCATCACCAGTTGGCATGAGGGGCAGGACTAGGCCAGAATCCATATCCCCATTGTACCCTGCCTGGGCATTGGTACAATGTTAGCATAATTATGTATATTCTAGGGGGCTGCAAATAGTCCATGGAAGAATTCCATAGTTTTAAAATTCCATTTGTCCATGAACTTTTTGTAGTTCCCTCCCCCCTTCGTATGCTTGCTTCAGATTCTTTACCAAGAGTGTAAAGGCATTTATCGTGTGTGTACAGGCTTAATCTCAGAACCATGTTTCCCCTCAGCTTTGGATCTGCATTCTTCTCCACCGGATGGGCTTGGCACCACATTTGAAAGTGGAGACTAGTTTTAGTGTGCCACACTAAAGCCTGTGGCCTTTGTAGAGATGGAGATGGACACAAGCTCGCAGCCTACCATGAGCTAGAACCCCACCAAGCAGTGTCTCCGGCAGCATTATGACTTTCATTTAGATAAGAGCGAATGTCCTGATGGTCTTGATGCTTTAGTGGTTCTGTTTTGTGGTCCTTAAAAGCAAGACAGAGTTCTGAGGTTTTTGAATGAAAAGCTGGACTTCGTCTTAAAAACCAGGTTGTTTGATTTGGTAATTCTTTCAAGGGCTTATCAAGCCTCATAAGTGTATTATATTATTGATTTGGGGCATAAGATTTATGAGAACCTTGATAATGTTCTCCGGGAAGTTGTCAGTTCTCTGAAGCATTTCAGAATTTGCAAGATGTTGGGTTTTAAAAGTAGGAAATGAGGGAACAAGTTAGATTGCATTTGTTCCTGTCTCTGGGCTTCTCTGATTATGAGTCTATGGCAGTGAAAAACAATGGAAGATGTGGTCAGCTTGAATCTCCCTTTAAAAGTATTTTGTTATTTGAACTAGCTTGTTTTATGACATTTATAGTTCGTAAAAAGTACTATGTGCTTGTCTAGTATACACTTATTATTAATTGAACTAATTTTTTGCCACATAATGATGAGCATAATTATATTAAGCACCGTGTGTTTTTCACCAAGTAAAACGGAAAACTTCTATTTCAGTGTTTTGTAGATGAAGATAGATAACCAAGGAGGCTTCAGAAAGTTTGTGGGAAAATCCTATTATCTTTTAATTCCATTTTCCCCCACACTGTTTGAAGCTTGGTTGCATCCTTGGTCTTTACCTAGTTTTTCATGTCAGGGGTGACCAGGTGTGGCAGTGAGTTGGTCCAGGAGAATTAAGGATCAGAAATTCTGTTTGTTATGAATATAGGCCTCGGGTTTTCTTTCTCACGTTTCTGTTTTCCGACACCGGGAGTTGACGTCACTAGTTTGAAGCACGAGGGTGTGGGAGTTTAGGAACGTTTGTTGATGTTTCATGTCTCTTTTTCTATAGGTGGGCCCATGTCATGTGTGCTATTGCGATCCCAGAAGTACGATTCACTAATGTCCCCGAAAGGACACAGATAGATGTAGGCAAAATCCCTTTACAGAGGTTAAAATTGGTGAGTGGCCAAGTTTCTTTTTTTTTTTACTCTCATAAATTAGAGCTGATGTCAAGTTCTGGATTTTCCTTTTACCAATGTATATTTCCCAAGGTAATTGTATCCCTAGCTTCATTTGATTATTTTATCCTTATTTTCCATAAGCCTAAATTTATTCACTCATATAGATCCTTTTCCGATTATATTGTTAGTCTGCATGTATCCTTCCTACGTTCTGTTTGAAATGAGGCAGAACATTAATGCATTTCCTGGATTCACGTGGACTTGAAAACGATGGGATATCTGGAGAAATTTGTCAGCAACGAATGGGCTTCGTCTCCTCAACACGATTTGAATGGTTTGATTTCTCTCTCTTGCCTCTCTTTGGTTGGTCTTGGCTTTGCAAAATGTTTCTAATCTTCTCTTCAGCACTAAGAGACTTTCAGAGAAAATATAAAAGCATTTACTATTATTACCAAGGGATTTTTCTCATGGATGAATAGATCATTTAGCAAACTCTCTAACCGATGATTTTCTGACCTGCCTAGGCACTTGTATGAAAATCTTCCTGCTGACTCCTTTTGTGTTTCTTACTGAAAAATGGGTGTTTCAAGACCTTCACGTTAAAGTAACCTTGAATTCTGAGCCAGCACGCCATTAGTTCCAGCCCTTCTGGTTTGTGTTCTGCGGGAATTTCCCCTAAAGTTAGACTCTGGAGCTTGTCTTACAGGTGAACTTCATCTGGAATTCCTTCAGTCCTTGTCATTTTTAACTTCACTCTGGAACATTCCAGGCAGTGCACCTACAACTTGGTCTCCCAATTATTGTTTGTTTTGTTACTGGTCTTGCCCGCTCTATGGAGTTGGGCGAGCAGCTTAGGGGGTCTGTCTCAGTAACTCAGCATCCATCCAGTTGCCTTTGTTTTCAGACACGTGTACACGAACATTGTCATTTCTCATCTGAGTTTCATGTTGTTGGGAAGTACGGGTCCTTTCCTTGGAGCTGGTGGTTCCTGTTGGCTGCTAGGGAGAGTGGGTGCAGCACGCTCCAGACATGGGAATCAAAGTTTGTGAACGACGATGGGAGTGATGCAGTCCACCGCTCAGAGGTCCCAGTGTCTCTCTGGAGGGCTGAGAAAATAAGACAGTTGTTCAGTTCCTGGACTTCCCCAGGAAGCTTGAAGTCTTATCCCTTAGCCACAGACTCAAAAGTAAACAGAAGACAACGAACAATATACGCCAGAATTAGGACTGCCTTAGGCTGGGTCTCCTAGAGAAGCAAACCCAGCAAAGCTTATATGTGTATTTATGTTGTTAGGTGCCAGCAAGACAGTTAGTAACCGTGTGCATAGCAGAACCAAGTACTGCCCGGCCATACACCATCCTCACTGTTACTGTCACACGTGAACCCATTGTTTTTTTTTTCCGTGTCAGTACGCCTTGTTGGGGCTTTTCACTGACCTTCCACTTTACCAAGATTGATGTCTCTCCAGATACTGGTCCAGATAACGTGACCAAAATATGAAAGACAAAGCCTCGCCACCCTGGCTTCTAAGGAACATTCTGGCTGTACTTCTCTTCCAGCACGGATTTGCTGGTTCTTTTGACAGTCCTTGGTATTTTTAATACGCTTCAACACCATAATTCATCTGCATCGATTCCTCGGTGGTTTTCTTTACTCACTGTCCAATTTATGCTTGCCTATGAGATGATGATGGGTATGTAGATGGAGAAATGCTTCATGCACTTGTAGAACCTGGTAAGTTCCAAGTCCATGGTCAGATGTCAGGCTGGAGGTTTCTCCTGACTTATAGAGAGAGCTACAGGTCTGACGGGCCCAAGATCAGCAGCACAACGGTAGCCCCTGGCTGCAGAGGTGAATGGATCCCAGGTTGGGAGGTAAGATGGCAGCTTTCTGATGACTCCCAGGGCTGGCAGGCAATGTGGCTGCTGCCTCCAGCCCTAAGAGCCAGAGGTCAGATGACCAGCCAGATGCAGAGTTTTGTCACCAAGTGTCCACATCTATTGGAGACAGACCATGGCCCTTAAGGACAGTCCCTTTCAGTTGACTGGCAGATCCTAACACATGTCATTGTGGGGAGAAGGGCTATATGCCATGGCCACCAACCACAGAGAGTCATGGCCCAGCCGGGCTGACACACAACGTCAGTATCACAAGGACTGTGAGAAAGATGCTCAAACCATGTTGTGTTGGAGAATTTAATGTGGTTCTGGGAGGAATACTAATATGTGTGACGTTTTCATTTGTAAACTGTTGTTCTTTGGGGGAAGATTCACAGAGCAAATCAGTGTCCACTCAGTAATTCACGCACACTTCGAGGCAGGTTGTTGATTGTAAGCCCCACGATGTAACTTCATCATCCCACGTCCTCCACGTGTCCCCATTCCCACCCTTCTTTGTTCCTAAGCCTTCTGAACTTTGCCCTTGGGCAAATGCTGCCCTTTTGATCTCAAGTAGTTGATTCTAAGATGTGCGTACTCCACTAATGGGATTGCTGCTCTCACAGACTTGTCTGAAACTTGATCCATGAGAGCGAATTCAGTTCAGACTTGAAGAGGAAAGAGGGATAGTCTCAAAGTTCCACCACTGGTCTTGTCTACTCTGGAGCTGGGTGTGCTGTTTGGGGTCTCTCTCAGTAACTCAGCATCCATCCAACTGCCGTGTTTCAGACAAGTGAACATGAACATGATCATTTCTCATCTTAGTTTGTTTCATGGTGCTGAAAAGTATGCGCCCGTTCCTGGGAGCTGGTGGTTGCTGTTGGTTCTCCGAGCAGTAAGCCTGTTTTGTTTTGTTTTATGATTTTGAGTTTTGAGGCCGGACACCATCCCATCTAATTCTTCTGATCTCAGAGTTGTGGAGGCTGATGCAGATGTGGGGTCCATTGAACTCACTGTTGCCACCACGCTCTGAGGGCTGATTTCCATGCGCCGCACAGAGAATGAGTGACTGTTAATCTCAGCGCTTCTCTCTATAAGGGCCGTGCTCGGTGATTCTTCTCCAGCAATGTCTCCTTCATGATTTACGCACACCCACCGTACTCCACGTTAGTTTAACGTACAGTGATGCTGGAAACTGTCCACTGATGTATCAAGTACCAACAGGAACACCCACAACAGACAGGGTTCAGTGGAGCTTCCAGACTAAGACAGACTAGGAAAATGGATTAGACGGTCCACTGCTGAGGAATTAGCCCTCGAAAACCTTCTGAATAGCAGTGGAATATGAGTCTACTACTGCAAGATGAGGTCCTAATGTTGGAAGGCTCTTAAAGAATCCACTGAGGAATAACGGACTCCTCAAAGCAGAGTCAACTTTAATGATGTGGATGGATCCAACCTTCGGAATCTTCATTTGCTGATGGGGCACAACCCAGAATGAGAACAAACAGCTGCAAACATCCATTGGTAATCGGAATGTGGATGTAGGAAGTATTAATCCAAGAAAATTGAAGTTTATCAAAAATGAAATGGACTTCCAGGAGCGCAAACAAATTTGTCTTGGAAGAAGTGCAGCCAGAATGCTCCTCACAAGTGAACATGGCGAGACTTAATCTAAGTGGAGAACACTTGCCCTGTAAGGTGTCTGAGGTTGTATATCTTTAGAGAAGCGGAGCGCTACGTCTTTCTCCTGCTGTCTGGTTGGTAGGCTTGAACCCTCTACCTTTCGGTTAGCAGTGGATTTGCTTTAAGACACCACTAGGGCTATTAATCATCAAAGTAACGGTGGTAAATTCATATGATGTGTACTGCAATACAAGCTTAGCATACCTATGGCATATGCATGTATTGTTATTGTTAAGGTGCCGTCGAGTCAGTACCGACTCATAGCGACCCTATGCACAACAGAACAAAACACTGCCCAGTCCTGGGCCAACCTCATAATTGTTGCCATGCTTGAGCCCATTGATGCTGCCACTTTACTAGTCCATCTCGCTGGGGGTCTTCCAATTTTACTCTGACCCTCCACCTTACCAAACATGATATCCTTCTCTAGTGACTGGTCACTCCTGACAATATGTCTGAAGTATGAGAGACGAAGTTTGGCCATCCTGGCCTCCAAGGAGCACTCTGGCTGCACTTCCAACACAGATCTTTGGTTCTTTTGGCAGCCCATGACACTTTCAATATTCTCCTCCAACACCATAACTCAAGAGCATCAATTCTTCTGTGGTCTTCCTTATTCACTGTCCAGCTTTTGCATGCATATGAGGTGATTGAAAATAGCATGACTTGGGTCAGGTGCATCTTAGTATGCATGTATACTGCATGATATAAGGTATGAGTTCCTTAGTTCCTTCACTGGTAATGTGGGATTTTATCAAAAAGCGTAGCTGGGACTCATGGAGCCTGTGAGTCACCCACATATCACCTGCCCTGTTGGCTGCATCTTCTGCTTTTGGACCCCCTGCTCAATTGGAGGCTGTTTATAAAAGTAACAAGGGGACTGTGACTCTCTCCACAATGCCCACTAGGTGGTGCTGCTGTACCAGGTTTACACGTGGCCCTTAAGCCAACTCCCTTGGCAAGAGCCAAAACTGAGTCCTGCCCACACTGGCAGGTGTGTGTGTGCATGTGCGCTCGCTGAGTTGCATGCTGGGATGCTGTAGCTCAAGGGATGGTAACAGCACCATGAAAAGTGCATTCAAAGGACTGAATTCCATAGGGTGAATTTTTAGTTCGTTTATTTTCATTTAGTCCTATAAAAGAGTGCTTTCCTTTGGGGCAAGTTTGTGTTTTTCTGTATAAGTCATAAGAAACACTGGTAACCACTAGAAACTGCAGGTTTAAAGAATGACTGGGGTGGCAAATATGAGCTTAAAATCTCTTCCAAAGTATGAAAGCTTTACAGATGCGTTTTAAAAACTCATTATGATCAACAACCTTTCTAGAAGTTGGAATAGTGGGGTCTGTGCAGTGAGATTTGAATCTTTTGGCAACACTGTTGCTAATCATTTATTCATTGGTGAAACCTGCAGCTTTTGAAAAACATCCTTGAAA